TACTACACCGACATAATAACTCCACCTCCACAAGAGGCTTAAGGCTTATGTTGGTGTAGTTAGGGTGATGCAGAGTCTGTGTAGACACTGCATCCCTTACATCGACTGTCTTGTCAATTTCACGGCAGGAGCTGTGAAATTGACAAGAAAGCCCCTGCTCCACTGGAGAGCTGGGCAGCTGGATCCTGCTCTGGATAGCAAACTGGGGTGAGAAGCCTGAGTGGCCCCCCATCCACTCCCTGCCCAGTGAGCCATGCAATTGACAAGACTGCCTGGCTCCCAGTGAGGAACGAGCAGGCAGAGGGGGCCGCGAAGCTAGGGGCAGCTGGACCCTGCTTTCCAGTGGTGAGAAGCCCCGGGTGGCTTCTCCCAGTTTCTGGCAAGGAACGGGTAGGGGAGAAGCTGTGGGTGACTTCCCCAGGCTCCTGGCGGGGAATAGAAAGCCCGGGAGGTGGGTGGGCGCCAGCCTGCCAGGAGTCCAGGAGGCAGTGGGGCAGCCAGGCTCCCGTCAGAGAGCTGCCAGCAGAGCTGAGAGACGGGCTGTCAGCTCCCTATGCTGACCCTCTTAGGTCAGTGAAAGCAGTTCTGGTGAGGACACACACTGTCAATCCAAGGAGGGTAGAGTGGATATGCACCACCGCAGTAATTACTGCTGTGGCTATAAATCAACCTAATATAGGTTGACTTAAGTTTGTAGTGTAGACATACCCACAGTGGTAGTAATTACTGTGAGTGTACATTGGTTAACTTCAGAGGGAAATGGCCAGTGCACATTTTACCTGTATGTCAGTCATGATAATTATGGGTATGAATTTGTCTGTACCCATTGCTGGAAAGCATTTTGAAATCCTTTTGGATGAAAAGTGATGTATAAATGTAAGCCACTGTAATATCTTAATATGGCCTATGTGCTTTCACAAGTATCTAGCAATTATTTTTTGTTTCAGGTATCCATTTTATGAAATTCTGCAATGAAAGGAACTCATTGTGAAGCACAATGGGATTCATACCATGTAATAACTGCTTTTCAAGAACTACAGGCATCAAGTGCTTATATTATTGCATTATGACCGGAGGTGTTAGGCATGAGTCTGCTCATTCCTATTTTTATTTCTGGCATATAGTTTTGCTTCCCTTTTCACTTTGTGCCATTCTTTCCTTCCCTTTCTAACAGCTTACCTTTCTTTATTATTATTTCTTAAATTACCTAGAAAGTCAACACTAAAGAGAGAGGTAAAACAACCTCTGAAGATTAATCAAGCCACATTGTTGATATGTTTGACTTTGAATCTGCTTCTTCGTAGCAGGGAGATGTCCTTCTCAGAAACCCTTTGACTATCAAAACAAATGATAGGTTTCAGAATAGCAGCCGTGTTAGTCTGTATCCGCAAAAAGAACAGGAGTACTTGTGGCACCTTAGAGACTAACAAATTTATTTGTTTGGTTTTTTTAGAGGAAAATTTGAAATGGGTTAAAAGTTAACCCACAGACCTTTCAAAAGGGAGGGTATATTCAAACATTAGAATAAAAGTTTTGGAACATTTATGCTCCTGTCAAAAAACCTAAAGAATCTTGGACCAAGGCTTGGGGCTCAGTTCCATCAAGCTCAGACTTGGTGGAGCTCCAGGAGGTAGGGGAGAGAAAGGTGACTAATTTATGACATACCAGCAAGGATTTGCAAAGCACAACAAACTCTAGCCCCATCTATCACTTCTCCAACATGGCATATATATGGCTATTCTGGCTCTATGATGGTGTGACGGGGTATATATACCCTGTTAAAGGTTAAACAAGTTAAAGGACTGCTGGGAGCTCAGTCAGCCCAGCACTGTGACACCTGAAACAGGTGCTGGACTTTGAAACATGAGCTAAAAAAGTGGCTGGCTGGGAGGGAGAGCAGACTTTCGGCTCTCACTGTGGATGGGAAGGTTGGCTGGGGCCAGGAGCTCAGGAATGGTTACCTATGAGAGCCCTCCCCCACTCCCCTTAGGGTTTGGAAGAGTTGTGTTTATTTTGGACTTTGGGTACTCTGGAAGGGATGGAACTTTTATCTGACCTAGCTGGAGGGCCAGGTCACCTTAACCTGAAAGCTGTTGGCAGCTGGGCTGTTCTGCTCAAGGCCAGGATGGAAACAGAGGCAGAGCCACTGCTCCACTACACCACACCATATGAGGGCATGCAGGGAGGGTGTGTAGCCACTGATGGGTTTGTGCAACTTGGAGATTACCCAGTACCATCAGAACTCCAGTTTTCTGGGTGTTTTGCACAGACTGAAAAGTATAAAATCTCTAGAAGCAGAGCTGAGGATATGGCCCCTGAAGTCTTCTCAGGCAAATCAGAGGAGTTTTGCTCTCTTTCAGGCCTATATATGTGCTTGTTCTCATATATACCTACATGAGCATGGGTAGTCCCAGGGACAGGGAGGGAATGACACAGGCAGAATTCTCATATAATGTTTATAGGAGTTCGACCTGTGTCAAGACAGCAGAAATAAGCCCTGGTAAAGTTAAGTTTTATAATGATTTCCTGCTAGCTGCTTAGCAGGTACACATTTGAGTAAAAAAGAACTTTTGCTGCTCATGTTCCTTTCTTAAAACAAAACAAAGAGTAAGGTCTTTCATTTAGTCCTATCAAATATTTATTAGTTTACCTAATGGTATCCATCATTTTTGCACATTGGGTGCCTTCTATTAATTACTGGTAACTGGAAAATATTTTTGTTTCACCAGTTTAATTGACCTCTGAATGATTTTAGGAACAGGCTGTATAGGTTTTTAGTAGCTTTTCTAATCCTATATTTTAGCAATTTCCTAGCATTTATTCTGAATAATGTTTCACAAAACTGGAGCCCATAGAAATGTAATATTTATATCTAGACAGCTAAAGTTAGCAAATGACAAGTATCGACTTCAGTTGATTGTATTTGATAATTTTGGATTATTTTTATAAATTCACATTTGGATTATTTTAACATTGGTAAGTATTTTAATTAAATGTCACTCCCCCCCCCCCTTTTAAATTCTGATGACTCAAGAGTAAATAAGTGCTACATATTACTCTTCACTACTGCAGCTTTTGTTTGCTCAATATCTGTTTAAAGGTCATGGTCCCATTGTCCTTGTAAACAATGGGAGTTTTAACTGTATAAGGACATCCGATTCAGGCCCTTCATGTGCTCAGTGAAAAACTCCATGTATTGCATTCTAAGAGAGAAGGTTCACCATTTGCCTGCTGGGAAACACTGAAAGTTATGGATTAGGAATTACTGATATTAATGATATTTCTTGTTTATTTACAACTGACAAAAATTATCCTCTCCAATTGTTTGTTACACCCACTTGTTGGCTCTTTTCTCAAATGAGGCCTAATCCTGCAACTGCTTATGCATAAGTAGAGCACCTACAGAGCCTCACTGAAATCAGTGGACCTGTGTATGGATGCAGGAGTCTGCCTATGTGCAAGCAGCTGCAGGACTGGGGCATTTAACAGTAAGATCTCTGGTCAGGGAATCTCTCTTACTATGTTTTTGGTAGAAATCCTAATACAGTAGGATCCCAATCTGATTGGGACTTCTGGGTGCTATTGTTATACAAATTAGAGCTGGACAGAAAATTAATTTTCCATCCTGCAAAAAAAAAATGATTTTAAAAAAATGTTTTGGGTCAGCTGAAACAAAACATTTTGATACACATGAAGTGTTTCAATTTTGACATTTAATTTTTTATATAAAATTAAATGTCAAAATGAGAAATCAAAACTTTTTGTTCCAAAAAATATCAAACCAGGACACTTTGACAATTTCAAAACAATTTTTGCAATTTTTCCTAATTTTTTTTTTAAATTCGTATAATTTTATGAAAAAATTTGGTTTTGTTGAAATGGCATTTTCTGACAGCAAATTGTTCTGAGGAAATGTTTCTGACCAACTGTAATACAAACATATCATAATAATAATAATCTCATTTGGGGCCTGTTCCTGCAGTCCATCAGAGACTTTGGGAAACTTATTTTTGATTGAAGGATCTGCTCTTTAACTTCTGCAATCAACAGGAAATCTAATCATTCATCACCATGAAGAAGAATTGATTTGACCTAGAGTAATCTCTGATAAAATGGCTCTGATTTAATAAGCTTGCATTTGTAATATGCTAAACTTTTAGTTGAGGGAAAATATTTGTCAGAATAATGACCTCAGTCCTCTTCTGTTTTTGTTTTTTAAGATGCTATGAAGTGGAAAGTGTTAAATCTCACCAGCAAACTCCCTTTGCATCTTACAAACATACACTACTACCTACCTCACCTCCGGGAGCATGAAAACAGCCTTTACCCAAATGTTGTCATTGGACAAGGGAGAACTGGAGGTAAGAGCTAAAATTTAATATTTGGTGGCATTTTTCTTTTCGCTCTGAAGAGACATACAAGGTTTGTGGTTTCAAAATTTGGCCTATTAATATATAAATTTTTATCTTTATTATACCTGTTTGAAAATACCACTTAATGCTTTACAGTAGTTCAGTATATGTTTTTTCTGAAAATAAGTTCTAACAGCCTAGCAACTAACCGTACAGTTGCAAACTTCTCTGTGCATGTACTCGGTAGAAAAAACATTTGGGAAATATATGTATTCAGACCTCAGAGGTTATTATAGGTATTGCTAGTAATATAAAAGTTATTAAATATAATTTGTCTGTGACCATGGAAATTGTTCTTAACTATTTTCAGGGTTTTAATTTAAATTTAGAATCAGTGTTTTTATTTAAGGAGCCCTTAAATTTAAGCTGTGCAAATTTACAGTTGCTTCTTTTTGCACCTGCAAAAAAAATGTAAAGGGAAACTTAGAGGTGTGGTTGAAAATCCGCTCCCCCCCAAAAACAACAACAACAACAACTAAACACGAAGAAAATAGTTCATTATCTTTTCTTAGGGAATTTCAGTAATTTTAGTTCATACCTGACATCTACAATTTGTCAGCAGAAATTGTTTTTAGTTGTGTATTATTTGAAACTGCATGATCACATTGTCCAGAGTGAGCATGGTGATAAAAGTAATGAAGGCTTAATTTACGTCAGTAACTATACAAACTTTTAAATTGTTCTCTCAAAAATTTTTCAAACATAAATTTTTCTTACTAGGCTAGGAAGGTTATTCTCTTAGAATATTAATGCTTATATCATAAAAATCCTATGGGACTCATTATTCTGTAGTACCCTTCTTAGAGGAAGCAGGACAACAACTTGCTTTTCTTAAAACTTAACTAAAAGTGTACTTTTGCTTCCCATTTCCTGCCACTCCTCCATCAACTTTTCCCATATCCCTCCTGACTATAGTATCTGGGTGGCATGCATAGGAGGTTGCATAGTACCATTTTCTCCTTCACCAGATGTCAGGAGGTTGTCTTCCCTTCCAGATATACCTCAGTGATCTTACCTCAAAACAATCTATTATTCAAATGTTTTAATTCAAACAAACACAAGATCTATTAAAAACAGAGAAAAAAGTCAAATCCACACCAGCTCTGGGCCAGGACTCCAAGGGTAAGGTCCTTCTGCAACCTTGAACAGATCACCTCAGGTATACCTTTCCTCCCATTCCACTGATACCAGAAGTTCTAAGAAAAATTTGCCATGACAAAGCTTGGGCACTCTTATTGTGCAGAACTGGCCCAGACAATTTTGGTTTTCAGACCTTCAGGGGATCTCAACCCATCTCAACCAAAAGCATCTGATCCTTTCCAGATCATCTGAATCAAGAGAACAGCAAGGCTAGACATCGCAATCCAGGCCCTTTTTTCATGGCCTGGTATTTGGGTGGGCATCAGATTTAGAGCATTCATTTTTAAAGGCCTGAACAACAATCTGTTCTTAATCAAAGCAAAAGGGCATCCACCAGAAAATGCTATCTGGCAAAATGGAGACATTTCTCCACATGGTCACAACAGAACCAATTATCTGCACAATCTGTGGGAACTCTTATTTTAGATTACCTACTCACTGTCAAGATGTTGGGTCTTTCCATTAGTGCACTGTGGGTACACCTTGCAGCAGTCATCAATTTCCATTCTTAAGGATGCTGTTTTTACTCATCCAACAACAACCAGATTCCTGAAGGGCCTCATTAGAACTTTCTCAATGATGGGATCTTAATCTTGTTCTTTCACCACAATGGGATCTTAATCTTGTTCTTTCAGTACTTACCAGACCTCCCTTTGAACCGCTAGCCACTTGCTCCATGTCCTGCACCTCCATGAAAGTCACTTAATTGTCATCACATCAGCCAGAAAAGTGAGTGAACTGGGAGTGCTTATGGCAGATCTGCCACATACCACGTTTCATAAGGAGAAGGTTTCCCTTTGCCTCCATCCAAAATTCATCCCTAAATTAATTCCTGAGTTTCATATGAATTGGTCTATTCACTTACTAGTATTCTTTCTAAAACCTCATGCTTCCCATGCTTCTCTTTACATCTGAGGGTCTTTGGCATTCTTTCTGCAGACGACAAAAAGAATCAGGAAAATGCCTAGACTATTTTTCTTTAGTGAGGTGATCTAAAGGACAAGCATTATCTGCTCAGACCCACTCTAAGTGGATCTCTGTCTGCATTGTTCTTTATCAACTGGTGCATATTTCTCCTGTAGATGAGGTGAGAACCCATTCTGCTAAAGCACAAGCAACTTCTACAGCATCTCTTTGAGAGATGCCTATACTGGACATCTGTAGGGTGGCTATCTGGAGCACTAGACATAATTTCATGAAACATTATACATTAGTCCAGGCCTCTTCTTACACAAGCAATTGTGGGGACAGCAGTATTACAGACTGCTATACCAACTGCATCCTCACACCTCCTCCTGTTTGACTATCACTCATATGTGGAATACACATAGGGACTGGCACTCAAAGATGGAATGGAGGTTACTTACTGTAACTGGAAATTCTTGGAGATGTGTGATCCCTATCTGTATTCCACTGCCAGCCTTCCTTCCCCTGTGCTTCAGACTATGACTGGATTTGTGGTAAGAAGAAGAAATGGAGCAGAATCAGTCCACACTGCCCCTTATACTCTCAGTTTGGAGCAAGAAGAGAATGATTACGCAGGTGTGGATTGACAGACATTACTTGCTAGAAATCTCTGATCTGAGGCAGGTAGTACACACATGTACCCACGTCTGGAATACAGATAGGGACCATTCATCTTAAAGAACATCCAGTAACAGAACCTCTATTTTTTCAAGATACTGTACACATGTATTCCATGACCTGTCCTCCATCCCCACTACTACAGAAGCATCAGGAGTCCAGCGGTGAAGCAACCAAGGTGCAGTTGGATTGGCCCGCTCTCAATGTCCTCAGTTGGAGGTAAGAGGATACTCGGGCGCATGTGCCACTCCAACGGGTCCTGCTGACAAAAAGTCTTGGGCTCAAGTGCATTGGGTGCATGTATACCAACAGTAGAATATAATGTGGACAACACATCTCAAAGAACAGCAGTTATTGTACAGTAAGTAACCATTTTTTTGAGGTATAGCTCAACCCATAAATGGCATATTATCCCCTTCCTCCCTACTGTCAATTCTTAACATCAAACACAAACACATTTCCTTGGTTACAGCATGTTTATTACCCCCAGTTATACCATGGCTTCAAAGTAGGAGCACAATGTATCCCTGACTCTGTTTCCTTGACCACTTAGGGCATTTTGCAGAGGCACCCTCTCTGGCTGTCCCTAATGTTTAGACAGTCTCCCTACATTCTGCTCCCATCTATCCTTCAAGATCTCTCCCTTGCTCTCACAGTTTTTGTTCAAAATACAGCAGGCACTTATCACACAAGGTACATAATAATGAGAAACATCCAGCCTTTTCATAATGTACTGATACTCACACTTCAGTCTTCCAAAAGCACACTCCACTGACATTCTGCAACTACTCAGGGTAAAGTTAAACCACTCCTTTCTCTTTTCAAAGCATCCAGTGAAAGGCTTCAGAAATCAGGGAAGTAGAGTGTAAGCTGGATCTCCCACAATGACAAGACAAATCTTAAATCGATCTCCATAATGTTCTGGAGAACAAATAGTCCATTGCTTATCCATTAAACGGGCCTGAGTTTGCCACCTTGCATTAATATTGGTGAATCTTCAACAGTGATCAACTGGACCTCGCAGCACCATGGAAAAATACCCCTTTCTGTTGATGAAGTCTTTGGCCTGGTGTGTAGAGTAGAGAATAGGCACGTGTGACCCATCAGTAGCCTTTAGACAGTTTGAGAATCCCATCTGTGCAAAGTCATCAATAACCTCCTGTACAATGCCAAGTTTTATGACACGCCACTGCAGCACCCTCCTTGTAGCATCACAAGTCTCCATGACAACAGCCCCAGTGGCTGATCTACCAACACCAAACTGGCTAGCTGCTGACTGGAAGCAATCAGGAGTGACGAGCTTCCTGATGATGATGGCAACATGATTCTTCATGCTCAAGGGGACTCTCATGTTGGTCTTCTGCCACTGCAGTTCTAAAGTGAGCTCTGTGCAGATTCCTAGGAAAGATGCTGTGATAGAACCTTCAGTGGTTAGGCGGCCTAGTGGCTAGATCGTTGATCAGAGGGGTTGGAGGGAGAACCAGACCCTCTCCAGGGCCCTGTGTAGTCCAACCCCTAAGCAGGGAAGATGGGTCTTCCTCCCGGCCGGGTGAGGATAGAGAATTCAAGATGCATTTCCCTAGGCTACTTCCTATTAAAGTCTCTTTAGTCTGTGGTGTGGCCCCACTAGTTCAATTCCCCGCTTAGCTGCAGGCTCCTCTTGGTAGGGGAAGGCTTAATTGCCTCCGGTGGGTGCACTGGCTAGCAGGTCACTGATCTGTCCCTTCAGGCAGCCAAACAGAGAGCTCCTGCCTCCTCACCAGTCAGCCCCCAACTGAGCCAGGCTCCCTTCTTTTCTTCCCCCTCCAGGTCTGGCATTGGCTGCAGGTGTAGAGGGGTGGGGCTAGCTCAGCCCACAGGTTTTCTTGAACTCCTGCTGTGCAAGGCAGCAGTTTCTCTGCTCCTTCACAGTTGCCTTTGTCATTCTGATGTTCTGCTGGCACTGTGGGTCATCTCAGTTCTGCATCATAGCCCTCTGCACCAGTAACTGCTAGTTGGCCAAGTCCAGAAGCAGCGCTCCACTGAGTAAATCTGCTCAAGAGAAATGCTCTGCAGAAGTAGTTACTCAACTTCCTACTCATTCATTACTATTAGCTATATTGCTGCAGCATTGTGGCACTCTGTGCCTCAAAGCAACACCCTGAAACCCCCATATTCACCACTGTCATATAATTATGATATGTTTTGTACAAAGTATGCCTTGTAAGGTATCATTTTAAAGAATGGACGGAATGCCGCCCCTTAGCATGTGCCATCCCAGGCATGTGCTTCCTCCGTTGGTGCCTGGAGCCGGCCCTGCTTGATTCAAATCCTGTTTAGTTTATAGAACTCACATTGCAAATTTACTTAGGTAACCAACTTTGATCTCTACACTTACTACTTATAGGGCTAGTCTACACTACCACGCTATATTGGCGCAGCTGCACCGATGCAGCTGCGTTGCTGTAGCGTGTCTGATGAAGATGTACTACGCAGATGGGAGAGTGCTCTCCTGCCGACATAGTGTGGTGCGGACACCCCTGAGTGACGTAACTTACATTGATTTAAGCGGTAGTGTAGACAAGCCCTTAATCACTTAAAATCAATCTTTCAGTAGTTAATATTTTACCTAAAACTGTGTGTTTTGGTTGAAGTGCTTGGGAAATCTCAGCTCAGTTTACAAAGGCTAGTGTGTGTCCTCTGCACATCGAGGGAGGGATGGACTGGGTAATGAACTTACACTGGTCAAGCTTCTAACACGGCAAGACCATACAGCTCTGGGGTGCAAGGCTGGGGAGCTGGGGGGAATTGGCTGAAGCCTCTCTCTTGTTGGTTCATGAGTGGCTGGGAGAAGCATTCATGTAACTCAGTTGGGTGTGTCCCTGCCTATGGATGTCTGTGTACGTGCAGTACTTGCCAGAGGTTTGTAGCTTGCCAACAGCATCACAGTGTGAGAGAGAGCCCAGGTTGGTGGGACAGAGTGCTCAGCAGTCCCACAGTCCAAGCTGCACCCCAGGAGCACCGTGACAAGCATCAACAGCCCTATGAAACAGCAGAGCCAAATGCATCGACACCCCCGAGACTCCAAATGCACGTGCCTGATCCTGTTTGCTACATTGTTGTAATGACTGTTATGATTGCAATGTTCACCAGTTTGTCTTCCGTGCTGCTTGACAGCAGTTCTAAAATGGCTCTGGCAAAATTAAAGGGTGTCAGGAGAGGAGTAATGGAGATTTGTTAGAGTGAGCCCCCCAAACTCAAAATTTCTGTAGTTTCTGGTAGTCATCCCAGAATGCACCAAAAGAACCATCAAAGATCAGAGTGCTGAGCAATTCATTCAAACAAGCTTGGAGCTATGTGGATGCAATGATTATAAAGGAAAGTACCTTAAGCCAAGAAAACAAAATGGTGTAGACACACTTTGGTTGGATATATTTAAATTGTTGCACTCAGAGTGCACAAAGTAGATCAATGTAACATCCCTGTGTAAACATGGTCAAAGTCCTCAAAACTGCTTACAGCTATGTAATATAGACCCAATGCCTATAGCGTACAAATGAAAATGTCTCCAACCTAATTTATGATCGGGACACACAGTATGTCCCATGCCATATGGCAGTTCATACTCTGTCAAACCTCTGCACAAACATTAACTAGTTGATCAGTCTATTGAAGTTCCTATTTATGATGGTCCCTTTTCTGTGTGTTATTTTCATCATACAAAATTGCAAAAAGTCACTAAATAGCCTCTATTTGACTTGAGATTAAATTATTTTAATTTCTGTTTGCAGTCTCCCTGGTGATGGGTATTCCTACTGTGAAAAGGGGAAAACAAAATTATCTGCTGGGCACATTGAACTCTCTCTTCTATGAGATGTCTGCAGAGCAGAAGAATGATTGTGTAGTGGTTATCTTTGTAGCAGAGGTAAGTTAGTATGAACAGGTGTATTTATGTTAATAAAGAGACAATATAGGAATCTATGTCTGAGTATAGTAGTGTATGAATCACTTCCATTTACTGATCATCATTGCTTTTGGAAGGATTTCTCCATGCAATTCAAATTTGGGAAAATATCCCTACTTTTCAATAAAGGACCAATAACATGGTCAAGAGATGGAATGTGCATGGAATCCTATTTAATTAAAATGCTAGAAGCTGACATATTATATTCCTTTGGAATGATGTTGGCAGTCATAAAATTCCCAAACTTTGTGCCTATTAGGACATGTGTAGTGGTCAGTGCCTGGGTATTCTTATCTAGAAAATAACTGGGGGGAAAAAAGATGGTACAGGTAACAACTGTCACATTATACTTACAGGCACTCTTGCTCTGCTTGCAGTCACATCTCCTTCAAATAAAATCATATGAATTCATTTTTTTCTCTTAACGCAAAGTATTCTATTCTGAGAATGAAAGGATTAGAAAACTGTCATCCACAAAAGTCCATAGAACCTGACAAAATATGAGCTTATTACCTTAATTTGAAAGAAATAGAGGTATTTGTCAGTTATTTAGGATTATGAGTATTTTACAAGGTGCTCTGATGCTCTAGCAGCTGGCATGTGAAGTGACAGTTTTTTGGAGAAAAGCAAATACTGTGGTTATAAAATCTACAAAACATAAATAGCTCTTGTTTGAAAAAATTAGGCTGTTTCGGGTAAGTGGGAATTTTCCTCTCCCTGAATCTCTTGTTCTTATGGTTAAAGAACTATAGCTACGAAATACACCTAATAAAAGTGCAATATTTAGCAACAACTCCTTGCAGACAGCTGGTGGTGGTTGGGGACCCACATCCGCTCTCACAATCTATCTGTCTTTATGCATTCTTTAACTGCTAGTTTCCACTTATTTATTAAATGTAATTATTAAATGTAAAAGAAAGTTTACCCATTTAGTTAATCACATTTATAACTGTTCAAACTATAAATAATACCTAGATCACACTTCACCTTATCAGCTTAAATAGGATCCTGATGTCTCTTTCTGGTCCAGATCATGATGATAGTTTCAATTTACTGGCTTAGTTTGTAGTCTAGCTAAATTTACCAATTTCATCTAAAAAATTAAACTCTTTTACAGTGGGATAAGTCCTGATAGAGGGCCTTGCTCTGCAAGGAGTCTCTGTTGCAGTGGCATAAAGAAGCTACTTATGAGGGGTAGGCAGTAATAGGCCATCCCTGAGGTAAAAGTGTAATACTTGCTGTGAAGGAGAGGTGGCCAGGACAGCTGGGGAGTATACCAATTCAGTTACTCCATGGTGACTCCCGCTGGTGGAGCTCCTATGGCTCCTCAGTAGGAATTAAAGTTGCCTCTTTGGTGGACCCCTATGAGGGCAGAGGCAGAAATACTAGATTCACGCTAGGGTTAGCCATGACCAATTGACACAGTATTAATTAAAACAATACCTGCCTACACTGAGTGATAAGTTACATTTAACATCATGTTATTTAAGAGGTGTGCAGTTATGTGCTGCACCTCCAAGAGGTGCAGCACACACAGATACAGCCCAGAGGGTGGGAGGCTAAGGTTGCTTTAAGCTCTGCCCCTCCCCCAGCACACTTCCAGTGTAGGAGCTTGTGAGGGGTCCTATGTAAGGCTGTTACAGCAGCTTTGCGTAGTGCCTGCACAAGAGGAGCTCCCCACCAGCCAGCTAAAGATTTTTTTTCTTGTCTCTGTATGCCACTGTAGCAGTGTATAGGGGGCCAGGCCAGAGTAGTGTAGGGTAGGATGGGTGGAATCCCTCCCCAGGAATCCTCAGGGTCACTTTCTAACTTGGTGTAATTTCCCAATTTCAAAGGGGTGAAGTGGCTTAGGGCACAGTAGCTTTATTTGCTCTTGAAGCTTCTGGGGATCAGGTTCACAAATGCTTGCATCCTGGGTAACTCTAAGTAGTATCCTGTCTGTATGTGGGTAACACAATTGTTGAAGTAGCTTTCTCTTGTCAACCCTCAACAGTTATGTATTCTTGACTTATTGCTGTTTTAATGTATATCTTGTGATGAAGCTTGGCTATAACTTTTTAAAATAACCAATCCTAAACTGGCAGGATGACCCCTACATCTCCAAAGGGACAACATCTTTAAGTAGTGTTAGATTTTCATTTAGATAAAACCTGAATTTTCCATACTAAAACTGCTAGTTGTATGGGGCAGCAACAATGAGCAAAATCTGACATTTCCAGGCTAAATGCCACCGTTAGTTAAATGAGGAGCAAACTCCTGTTTAAACTTTGAATATGGATAGCCCGAGGCAAGGAAAGTTTGCACAGGTGAATTTTCTCACCAACAACGGGTCAGGTTAATAAAGGTTAGTGATTTTTTGATGATTAATCTAAATGACCTCTTTACTGAGAACAGGATCAGAAGGGCATACTAATTTAGTCCTCACAACTAGAGGCTGTAGACAGATTGCCACAGATCTGTGCTCTCTCTCTTACTAAAGTGATGAGAACCTGTATATAGTCCACAGACAAATAATTTACACACAAATGAAGCATCTATGATTTATAATATACATTCAGATGCCTGGGTAACACAACAATATTTAGTTATAGGAACACTGATATAATTACTCTTGCCTAGAATAAAAAAATTAGGCAGTGAAGTGTTTTGTGTATATACTTATATCAATTAGACTGGAAGTTAATGAAAATATTAAATTGGGTAAAAAGGAGTGTGTTAGATACTTTTTTGTTCTTTACTTCTTTAGGTGAATGCAGAGTATGTTAACAGTATTGCAGAAAGTGTTAGAACCAGGTAAGTCCTCCATCAGGACCTATTGTATGGCTAATTGCTTTTCAGTTTTACATGAAAAGTTGTAGCATTTCAACAATGAACTACAAAATTAAAACTTGATGAAATGGTGCCATTACTCACATTTTGTAATTCAGTGATTTTAGGTTGCATTTCTAACCTTTGAGACCTGCGTTAATTTTCTTCAATGTGAGACTGCTTTCCAAGGAATTAATAGTGCAATCAAAAGCACCTTTGTATTCATACACTGTGTCCTCATTGACCTCAGTCCCCTAAAATCTATAGTTATCTGTGCTGAGATCTGTGACATTTTCTAAGTGTCTTTGTTTGATAGTCTGGGTAGCAGTTCTACTTCTTTTTTTAAGGGCCATGGATTTTGGATAGCAATCTGCTTCAGTGAAATGCACTAATTCAGTTGTCTGTATTGCCATTCAATATGAAGTAATTTTGAAAAGACTTTGAACGACTGAATTCAAGTGTGACTGTTATGAAGAAATACAGTTGAGGCTGAGTTTTCACTGTAACATTGCTTGCTCTTATCCTACTCTCTGGTAGATGTTTAGTAACACTTGAAAAACTGAGTCTTTGCTTGAAAGGGACAAGTGCTTTTTTCAAACCCTATCATCACCCAATTCCTAAAGGGCTTGGTCAGATTATGCCCATATGTATGAAACCCCATCCCTCCTGGGGACCTGAACTTAGTTCTAGCAAAATTGATGGGACCTCCCTTTGAGCCCCTGGCAACTTGCTCTCTTCTTCACCTTTCCATGAAGGTATCATTTCTAGTGGCAATTACCTCAGCCAAAAGGGTGGGCGAGTTGTCAGAACCCCCCTACACAGTTTTCCATAAGGATAAAGTTTATCTCTGTCCTCACCCAAAATTTCTCATGAAAGCAGCCTCTGATTTTCATGTTAACCAAGCAATCTGTGTGCCATTGTTCTTTCCAAAACCCCATGCACATAGGGATGAGGAACAGCTTCACTCATTGGATGTGAGAAGGGTTTTAGCTTTCTACATGGATGGGAGTAAATCTTTTAGATCCTCTATGCAGTTGTTTGTAGTGGTTGCAAACAGAGCTAAGGGCCAACCGGTTTCCACTCAGAAAATCTCATACTGGATCCCACTTCATGCGTGTTTGTGCTACCAACTGGCTAATACTATTCTGCCGACTAGAGTGTTTGTGCATTCTATCACCGGACAGGCAGCTTCTGCAGCTTTCTTGGGGCCAGTGCCAATTGTAGATATTTGTAAAGCAGCCACTTGGTCATTAGTCCACAGTTTTGGTTCTCATTATGCCATTGTGCATCAGTCCAGAGATGATGCCAGTTTCGAATGGGTTGTCTTACAATCTCTGTTCAGGTAGATTCTGAACCTACCTACATGTGTGTTTTGCTTCTGAGTCACCTACAGTGGAACTGAACATGTAAAAAACATCTCAAAGAACAGTTTTAGAAAGGAAGATCACCATTTTTTACCAACGAGCAGACCAGTTTGAAGATAACCCTTTATTAAGAATGGAAACTATGCACAGAAATAGGGTGGTAGAACTTTCTGCAACTGTAGCCTGCTACTGTCCTGTTCTACGTTCCTTTGTTTCTGCTCCACAACAGGAAGTGTGTCATAGGAAAGCCAAAGACTTCATGAAGAATGTACATGAAGTGTGACACCTCTACTCTATAGCACATAGCTATTCCCATACAGGATGGGAAATAACTATATCAGTATAAGTCACTTTTATACCAGTATAATTGCATCCACATTAGGGCTATTACTAGTTTAACTATTTTAGTAAAATGTCTGAACCAAAATGGTTATTCCCGTAAAACTTCCAAGTGTAGACCAAGCCTTAGTATACTTTTCAGTTGAGTTAAGTTTATTCAACTGAGTTAGCTTGATTTTTAAAAACACATCTTTTTGCCCATGTAGATATGGTCTGGGATTGAACATGGGGATAGGAACTGCCTGCACAGATCCCTATGCCAGGATTAACACCTGAGGGCTAGATCCACAAGGAATTTTAGGGCTTGTCTACATAGTGAATAATGAGCTGTACAGGAGAGTGATTTCTAAAGTACACTAAAGTGTGTATTAATTGGCTTGTGTAGTGTCCACCAGCAGGTCTAAGGGTTCCCTAGTATGCTTTAACATAGTACTGTTTCAAACAGCACTATATCAAAGCAGATAAGGGAACATTTAGCGCGCACTAGCAGGGTCTACATGGACCAATTAATGTGCTTTAGAAATCACATCCCCTTTGAGTACATTATCCTATTGTGTAGACAAACTCTTAAGTACCTAACTGCCCCTTTAGGTACCACTGAGATCTTAAAAATGCCCAGTCAGTTACCACCTAAACCTGTAGGTGCTTAAATTCCCTAGGCACCTAAGTTTTTGCCAGTGGGAATGCACAAAACTATCTGAATCCTGACTCCACTGAGCTGCTCGGCATCCTAGCTGATGTCTAAGACCCAGCAGGATTCTCAAACTAGTTGTTCCCCTGCCTGTCTCACCTGTGGGGCCTGATCTCATAGGGATTCGCAGAGCATGCCAGACAGTCGGGGGAAGCAGATCAAGAAACAAGTGAGAGAGAGAGAGTGTGTGTGTCTGTACACCCATCCCAGGTTACCCAACAGCCTCGTGATTAGGGAACTGACTTGGGAGATCCAGGTTCAAATCCCTGCTCAAAACTGGGCTGAGTAGGTATTTGAAAAACAGGTTTCCCATATCGTAGATGAGTGCTGTAACCTCTGGGCTATTAGCTGTGGTGGAGTGGTCTCTCTCTTTCTCTCTGTCTGTCTGTCATTTTTGTGAGACAGGGCTAACCTGACTTCAGGAAAGGATTCATGGCTATGAATTCCAGGTGGAGATAATCACCTCCCTGTGACCCGCACTTAGGCACCTAACTACATTTGAAGCATGGGGTATCCTGCTCCTCTCCTCAGTAATTCCTACTGGCTAGCTTAGGCCTTTCTGGCTTCTGAGAATCCCATTCTTAGGTGCCTGACTTTCCCGATGCATTGTATAACTTGGTGCTCAGGATTCCACTGAGCATCAGGGTGCCTAAACGTTAGGCATTGCAATGCTGGCAGTTGCAATATCTAAGTCCCTTTGTTGATTTAGCCCATAGTTATTAATCTTTTCTTTACAGCTTCCCTAACGAAGTGCAGTCGGGTGTTATTGAGGTTATTTCCCCTCTTGCTTCCTATTACCCAGACCTCTCCAATCTCAAGGAAACATTTGGAGACTCAAAGGAAAGAGTAAGGTAAGATAGGCTATGTAAAAACTTTCCAATAATTTTGTTCAACAGTAACTTCTTTAAATAGTCCACTGTATTTAAATTGATGAGTTTTGGTGTATTTCAGAGATAAAGCACTGTAAGTTTAAACAGAAGGTCATGAAAATGTATTTAATACAAGTGTAAGTATGGGGGAAACCAATGCTGTTGTCGGTGTCCATCAACTTCAGAGTAAAAGCTAAACATTCTCCCTGTAGTCCTGCTTCTAAAAATCCAACTGTTTTAAAACTGAATGTATAGTGCCAGATGATGATTTATAAAGATTAGTATGGTATGGTGATAAATGGCCTAACTTTTGTTGTTTTTTATTCTATATAATATAATTAATCATCTTTACTAACTCCTGGTGGTATCATTGGCCCACTTGCTTCAAATTCATTAGCAGGAAACTATAACCTGAAACTGGTTGGTTTACAGAAGCCAATCAGTTTTTTGTAGACCAAAAATAAGTTTAGATTGTCACCAACAACTTTCATGGCTCCACTTTCATGTGCTCAAGAGCAATGAGCTGCCAGTCTGAAGCAACACAGATGACAGCAGCAGAACAGCAGTACATGTTGCATACATGAATCAAATCAGGTTGCTTTTTTTTTTTAAATTAAATTCCATTCTTTCTAGAGAGCAAATATATTTGGTACATATGAGTAGAATATTCCTAGTTGCTCCCATCAAGGCCCAAATTCTTAGACTTGCATAGCTATAATTTGTATTTTGCAATTATCCTCAAACCTTTATCGATAAGGCGAGGGAGGAACTCTTTTTTATAATAAGCTTTGTGGAATTTCAAAAATAATAAGCACAAACAATATTTAATATCAGTAGAGCTGGTTGGGAATTTTTCATCAAAATGCAGTTTCTACAAATTTTGACATTTTTCACAGGAGATTTTGATTTTTTTTTGCCAAAGTTTTTTCAATTTTCATTCAGAAACAAATTAAGTGTTTCATTTCAAGTTGGATTGACCCAAATCGAAATACCTTGGTTTGTCAAAAATCAAAATGTTTAATTTCAGTTCCGATCTGTGTCTGCCTGAGCTGCCATGGTGCCTCATGCTCCTGTTCTCCTCTCTGGCTGGATGCATCTCCCATGAACCACATTTAGTCTCTTCTCTGGTTCAATCGTGGTGGTGAGTCATGGGAGATGCAGTTCAACTGGAGGACATGGCCCAGAAAGGAGACTGATGGCATGGCGTGCTCAAACTACAACTCTCATAAGGCACCATGGTAGCTCAGGTCGACACTTTTCAGTGTCGAATTGATGCAGAATGAAACATTGCAATCAGTTTGACAAACCAAATTGAAATGTTTCAATTCAGGAATGTCTAAATAGTCCCATTTTTGATAATTCTAAATCACTTTTGAGGTATTGTGTTCCACTCAGATTTTGATATTTTAACTTTTGTCCCAATTTGGGATGAAAACAAACTTTGTAATTTCCCATGTTGGGTGCTTGAGCACTTTCTAATTTGGCCTTGAGCTCCTTTTAATTTTTGGCCCCAGGTGATTAGTTAATTTAAAAATTTACAAATATCTTCTGATGAGCATGATAGATTTTAAGGGACTCTCACTTCTCAGAAGGAATGTTTAGAAAATGTTTAGAATGAGGAACAGATTAATTACAAGGTCTTAAGTACTAGATGAATGGCAAAATCCTACCCTCTTTATTCACACAAGCATTATTGCCCCCCCTGAAACTATATGGGCAAGACTGCCTGAAAAAGATTTGGTGACAAGTATGAAATGATCATCTTTTTGATCTCTACTGCTGAACAAAATTATGAGGTACTGAAAAATGAAAATATATATACTCTCAGATAATAAAGGTAAAAATATACCTAGCTCAGAAATGTATCAGGTACATGGAATTTGATAATTAAAGTCATAAGCCTATCAAATGTACTACAGTAATTAATTTCTGGACATCTTTTTGCATATAACTTTTTATAAATCTGCTTCCTTAAAGTCTTGTCGCAGATTAACAAATCTCAACTTTATTGATAGTAAAATGAGATGATTTGCTTTGTAGAGGAAAATTTACATTTTACTATTAAATATTACAGATAAGTTCGTCGACCTGCTTCTGTGTTGACTCATAAAAGCACTCTATTTTACCGCATGGTGAAATCTTAGTAAATTATAACTGTGTGTTGACTGTTGTGTTTATAACAAAACAGGTGAACTAAACCACTCTTCTTGACATGTATAAATTGGTTCATTTGCTGTGCATAGAGGAAATTCTAAAATTGAGTTTATTTTGAATCAGACACTTTTTTTTTTTACTAGCTTTCCTCTGATCCAGTTAACAGTGAGTGGGAGTAGTTTCAAGTATAGACTTCATAACTACAGTGTTCTAATGTCGGTATTATGCTGATAACTCCATTGAGAAATCCAGAAAAAGCTTAACAGAATGTGTTGCTTATATTTAGGTGGAGAACTAAACAGAATTTGGATTATAGCTTTTTAATGCTATATGCACAACCTAAGGGAACATTTTATTTACAGGTATGTTCACATTATCAATAACCAGCTATAAATCAATAAATAAAATGTGCTGATTTTTAGTGTTGGCAGTTTAATAACTGTTAAACTACTCAGTGAAGACAAGTCTCCTGTGGTTTTTCGGTATATTTGCTCACATCATTTGTAAGCATGAATCTCCATATTTTCATAGTTATTCATCTTATAGCTATGTATTATTTGATCTGAAATGGTAGTTTCATTTGTACCTTTCTGACATTCGCAGGGCTGAATGATAGACTTGCAAACTAACTGAACCATCAAACAACTTTCTGGCCAGGTTAGGGGTATCTGTGTTTTTAATGACAGGTTTCAGAGTAGCAGCCGTGTTAGTCTGTATCCGCAAAAAGAACAGGAGATGAAGTGGGTTTTAGCCCACGAAAGCTTATGCTCAAATAAATTTGTTAGTCTCCAAGGTGCCACAAGTACTCCTGTTCTTTTTGTGTTTTTAATGAGTTTTTGCTTGTAGTATAAACAGACAGTGTGGTTACAGACCAAGGTGACAGCCCAGGTCATAGCTAGCCAAAATCTCTCAAAGGATTTTTCCAAATGGGAAAAATATGAACTAGTTCATTTCATTAAAACAAACTGGGATGTGTGTATGCTGAACTGCAAAATCCAGACCCCCAACTTCCCCAGAATGGGTGGGAGGTTGGATCCACATAAGATCCCCAAATCTGGGCTTAACTGTAGTACAAATCAAGACATATGGCTGATTAGCAGTCTACAATGAAAAGAATGCACTGCACTGTAACTATCTAGAAAATTTCACAACAGCTGTCTGAGAGAAACAATAAACATAACTAGCTAAAAATAATGGTGGTGATGTGTGGGGGAAGAGATATGAAACGAGGAAAGAATACCAGGTAGAAAGCATCTTTACCTCATTTAATTTTACCATGGGTTTGACTGGAGAGGAGAGCATCCAGAAATTCTATGATGTGCAATTATTCCTTCAAGTGGGAAGAAAACTGGAATGGGAATGAGGCTTGCCCAATCCCATGATGGATCCTAGGATTCTGCATGGAAGGATTCTCCCAGGTGGTCAGCAGCAGGATAGGACACATAGAAGGGCTGCTTCTCGTCTTTCCTGGAACTGCTACTGGATAAGGGTAAAATTTTAAAAGTGATTTAGGAGTAGAACTGGCCAGAGATGGAAAATCCTGTTCTGCAGGAAATACTGAAACTTCAAAAAAAAATTGTTCTGAAACAGAATGAAAAATGAGATGTAGAAATTGCCCACAAGAATGGGAACTCCAACTTGGCCATTTCATTTCAACCTTTTTAGAAATGTTTCCAAGGCTGCCCAGAACCCCAGCAACCTGCCAGGTGAGGAACTGCACAACTTGGGGATCCTGAGAGCCAGAGCTCCCAGGCTAATGAGGAGCTTTGGGAGCCTGGAATCCCTGATTCTTCAGCAGCCCACTTTGCAGGCTGCCCTGGAACCAGGAAGCCCAGGCTGCTAAGGAGTTAGGAGCTTCCAGAGGTTCCAGGCTTCTGGGTCCATCTTAGCACACCAGGTGGGCTGCTGAGGAGCCAGACAGGGGCGCTGTCAGGAAACCAGGCACGTTTTGGTAATCCTTGGTAGGCAGGTTTCCATCAGAATTTTGTCAAAAAAGACACATTCCTGGAGAACATGTTGATTTTTGATAAAGCAGCATTTTCTGGTGGAAAAACGTTCCATCTGAAAATTTCTGACCGGCTCTACTTAAGAGCCTAAACCCAATCTTCCAACATGATTGACCTGCTTAGGCAGGGGTGCTGGAACCATTCATGTAGTGGGAGTGCTGAGAGCCATCGAACCAAACCGTAAACCCTGTACATGATGGAAACCATTTCAAGCCAGGGGGTGCTACAGCATCCCTAGTTCCAGCACCTATGTGCTTAGGAGCTAAATTATCATTGAAAGTTAATGAGACATAGGCTCCTAACCACCTAAGTCATGTTTGAAAATGGGACTGAGGCGCCTATGTCACTTGCACACTCCTGAAAATGTTACCCATAGAGACCAAAGTCTCTAATGCACCTCAGACACAATCAGGGAGAGGATGGCTGTCCAGAAGTTAACAATGCTTCCAAACAAAATGCTCTGTACTTTTAGTGGATGACACTAAGTTGGGGGGAGAGATAGATACGCTGGAGGGTAGGGACAGGGTCCAGAGTGGCCTAGACAAATTGGAGGATTGGGCCAAAAGAAATCTGATGAGGTTCAACAAGGACAAGTGCAGAGTCCTGCACTTAGGACGGAAGAACCCATGCACTGCTACAGGCTGGGGACCGACTGGCTAAGCGGCAGTTCTGCAGAAAAGGACCTGGGGATTACAGTGGACGAGAAGTTGGATATGAGTCAGTGTGCCATTGTTGCCAAGAAGGCTAACAGCATATTGGGCTGCATTAGTAGGAGCATTGCCAGTAGATCAAAGGAAGTAATTATTCCCCTCTATTCGGCACTGGTGAGGCCACATCTGGGCTCTGCTACAGAAAGGATGTGGACAAATTGGAGAGAGTCCAGTGGAGGGAAAATTATCAGGGGCCTGGGATACATGACTTACAAGGAGAGGCTGAGGAAACTGGGCTTCTTTAGTCTGCAGAAGAGAAGGGGTGGGGATTTGATAGCAGCATTCAACTACCTGAAGGGGGGGTTCCAAAGAGGATGGAGCTAGGCTGTTCTCAGTGGTGGCAGATGACAGAACAAGGAGCAGTGGTTTCAAGTTGCAATGGGGGAGGTCTAGGTTGGATATTAGGAAAAACTATTTCACTAGGAGAGTGGTGAAGCACTGGAATGGGTTACCTAGGGAGGTGGTGGAATCTCCATCCTTAGAGGTTTTTAAAGCCCATCTTGACAAAGCCCTGGCTGGGATGATTTAGTTGGGGTTGGTCCTCCTTTGCGCAGGGGGTTGGACTAGATGACCTCTGAGGTCTCTTCCAACTCTAATATTCTATGATTTCTGTTGGTGTGATTGAGGAAGATTGTAACAATATCAGAAATATTGGTGCTTGCATAGGGATGATTATTATGAATTTCCAGTTTCCTTTAAGAATAATTACATGTTGTTTACATTATACAAGACATCTTAAGGGCTGTCTTGTGGCATATATACCCAGCCCTAGCTTGTGGTGATGCCTATAGCAATCTTATCTTTTAAGACTTTTCTGGAGGACTAGAAGGGAAATAATGCCCTTTCTCTTGGCCCTTTCCCAGCCTGCCACTCCTTCCCTTGGTCTGCCCAGCCTCTGTACCTTTCCCCAGCACAGACCCTGACCTGTACAGAGAGGCTTCAGTCAAGGAGACAAGGGGGATGAAATGGGTGCTACAGTGGCAGTTGAGGTCCCCCTACATGCATGGATCTAATGGGAATACTCTAGGCCACTATTTGGAAGCTCCATAACAACATGAAAAAAAAGCTGAAAAATCCTTTTCCTCAGCCCATTACTTACCATACTGTAATATAAACATTTTAGATTAAAATTGAGGTTTGGTGACATTTTTTCTGACGCTTTTGATTTACTTGTTGGGTATGTTTAGTATTTTAGGGAAATCTTAAAACAGAGTTTATTTTACTAATTTCTCAGAAATAGCATCATTTTGGTAAATAACTTATATGAATGTCTGAAGTTGAAAAGATAATAAAGTTATGTAATTATGTATCTACGGTACACTTACTATCACATGCCAACTAAATCCCCAGTTCAGCAAAGCATATAAGTACTTTGCTGAATTGGGGTTTAGGTGAGCTGCTTTGTGAAGTGCACTGATCAGAAATAAATGTTTGGAAAAAGATAATAAGACCTAACACTTATTCAGTCATCTCTTCTTTAAGTTTTTGTATGTGATCAGCTACTGTATCTTCAGCTCTGCTCTCTTTATACGTGGTAATGTCTTTCTTAATTAGTAAAAGATTGAGAGATGTTTAGAAACAATTGTCACTTTCACTGTAACTGCTCAAGTTTTTTGCAGTACATTAGAGCCCCTTGAGACACTTGTATTAATGCCAGAGCTAGGATAATAGGATTGTAAGTCAGCCATAAAAGCAGGCAATCAAATCTCTCCATACCTAGGAGGAGATGTAGTTTTTTTCTTGTGTCCATTTAGAGTTGTTTTATCCTGAGGTAATTAAATATTTCCAAAGCTGAAAGCATCTTTGAGTAGCTCAATTACTACAGTTGTTGGGAAGTGCTTTCTATCAATACTCATGGGAACTTAAATGAAAACATTAAATATGACAGCAGCTTTCACCATCTTCATTCAGAATTTGTTATATACTCAGACTTACTTTTTTGAGGTGCTTCTCCACTCTAATATCTGTAGCAAACCCTGCCATCTCACAATATTTTTATTGACTGCAATTAACTTAATAAGAACATAAGAATGGCCATACTGGGTCAAACTAATAGTCCATGTAATCCAGTATCCTCTCTTCTGACAGTGGCCAGTGCCAGATGGTTCAGAGAGAATGAACATAACAAGGCAATTTTATTGAGTGGTCCATACCCTGTCATCCATTCCCAGCTTCTGGCAGGTGGAGGCTTAGAGACACCCAGAGCGTCTGGTTGTGTTCCTAACCATCTTGCCTAATAGTCATTTAGGGCTCTATCCTCTGTGAACTAGTATAATTCTTCTATGAACCCAGTTATATTTTTGACAGCCACTGCACTTTGTGGATAGTTCTCCGAAACCATCTACTCGACTCCAAGATCTTTCTTGAGTGTTAACAGCTAATTTAGAACCCATCATTTTGTATGTATATTTGGGATTATGTTTTCCAATGTGCATTACTTTGCATTTATCAACATAAATTTCATCTGCTGTTTTGTTGCCCAGTCACCCAGTTTTGTGAAATCCGTGAGAGGACCTTTCCTCTTATCCGATGACTGCTTACTTTGCTTAACAGACTTTGATGGGGGATCTTGTCAAGGGCTTTCTGAAAGTCCAAATACATTACATCCACTGGATCAGCCTTGTCCACTTGTTTGTTGATACCCTC